ACCTGTCAAACTAATGCTTGACTATATAAAATCAAGCGGATGGTTCTAATACTCCCAAATGGAGTAGGCAAAACAGAATTAAAAAAATATCTCTCAATAAATAAGATTATTTATTTGAAAAATTTTGAAAATCAAGAATTAAAATTCATAGAAACTGCACTATTATGCAAACTCAAATATTGAATTTGATATCTACTTATGTTATTTAACTGAATTTTTCTAAGATTATATTGGAATCTTCGCAATAACTTGTTACATTTTACTCCTTGAACCAATTTAAATTCTTCCATCTGCTAAAACACATACTGTTCATCATTTCTTTTTATTTTCTTGAAAATAATTTAATTATTCCCTACAGAAAATTAAAAAAGAAAAATTTCAAAAAATATCAAGTCTAACCTTGGTATTAGCCTTGTAAGAACCTTGTTAAAACAATCCTTGAAAAAATAAATATGCGCAGATTAAAATAACATTAAATAAAATGCAATTATTCAAATTAATAAACTTATATGTTGTATAGACAAGTTCTTGTTCTTGTTTAATTGTATTGCACAGAATTTTCACAATTTTCCCCCCTATTCGCGTATCAAATTACGAATATATTTAATTAAAATATTTTTCCCATCATTCACCAAAGCGACCCAGCAAAGATTGTTAATTTTCTACTTTGTTTTTAGATTTGTCTTTTATTTTATTATTTATTATTATTTAATTGAATTAAAATATATATTAAAAACAAATCTTGTTTAATTTAACAAAAATAAAATATAAGCGAAAATCTCCAATAAATTTTTTAAATAAAAAAAAAATTAAATTGTTTTTCTATGAACAACTAAAATGTGATTTATCATTATTGCACCAGTGCATTTCTTATATACCATGATATAGATTCATGTGTAATTTACCATGCATAATACTCTTGATAACTTTATACACACATTATCTCTTTTGTATCCTTTAAAATCCACCACATCGTAATGTATGTATAAGTATGCATAACGGTAAAGTAAATAATAACATAAATTTCATTCATTTACAGAAAAAATAAAGGAAAAAAACAATTACAAAAATAAAAGGACTATGGAAAATCTTGCAAAAAAAATTATTTTTTTTTATTTTTATTTTTATGATTATATTTTACCTTCACCTCCATATTTTATTGCATATACTCACATATTCACCATATTCACAGATAAGAATTTCATAAAAAATAATTTTTTTTCCAGCGGCTGAATGATTTAAAAGAACATAAAATGTTAGTAGATTTAATTTTAAAATATTCACCAGTGTACATTTATGCAATTGCATATTACAGAGCACTATACTGAAATATAGACTTTTTATTTCAATATATAAGTTACAAGAAAAATTAAAAAGTAAAAGAGTATACTTACATGTACGTATATTCATTAAAAAATAAGCACCGGTAACCTCGAGCCACATATATTATATGGTGTCATGAGAGAAAATGCAAATATTATAATATGGAAACTAAAAAACACAAATGCAGAAATTGCACGATAACCTATCTAATGTTATAATATATGTACAAGTGCTGTATATATGATATTAAACAAAATTATATATTTGTAATCAAGAAAAAAAAAAATGGATGTATTCACTTACATCTTATCTGTAAATGTATATAAATGTATATGTAGGTGAATAACTTTACTTAACTTTGACTAAGTATATAAAATATGCAAAAATGTAAGTAAAAGTTCAGAAAAAAAATCCTTTTGTTTTAAATAAAATAAAGAAAAAAATTAAAAATCAAAAATATCAATCGGTCACATGGACTTGATACTTCTGTTGCCTCTAAAAGTGTTTCATATATTTTATATTCTAGACACATATTTGTTTTTTTCATTCTGTTCTTATTTTATACTTTTACTAGGAGCGCCTGGAATAAATCGCATAACTTCAAATTTGCTCCAAAATAGAAACAAGCATTAATTTCCAAATAACCCTCTATTATAATAAAGAAAGGCAATACAAAATTAAATCTGGTTGCCATTAATTGGCAAAATATAAAAATTTATATCCAAATATCAATAATCATTGTAGTTCTTTTGAAATTCTCTGAAATTCGTATCATAAAATATAAAAATTATGTACCTTCATACGCCATATTGTTTTGCTTTAGCACCTATTTAATTTTCACGAATGGCATCTTTTGTATGAAGCTCCGCAAGAATACATTGATATTGAAATTAATCTACTATCCATGTCATAAAAAAATCGTTTGGGTGGGTATCAACTGATAGACTTACACAACAATATATCGATAATAAGTGTCAGACTTACCGTTTTCAAGCAGTAGTTGCTCAAACATAAAATCTTGAAAAAACACGCTATATTTCTTTCATTAGAAAAGTCCGCTATTTTTTTTTCTCGATGCACTACTTCTACTTTTACAACTTTGCTGTACATAAATTTAATGGCACGCGTGCTCTTTTGCTACTAATGTGATAATTTATGTTAATAACAAAAGAATTTACAAACACAACGTTTTTCTAGCTTTAACAGCTTCGAAGCAGAATCTTTTCGACCGAACATTAATATATTTGCCTACATTAGGAAAAAAAAAGAATTCCGGAGGTCACTTCAAACATGAAATTTCCGATCTTTCCGGATTTCGGAGGTTTCTTCGGACACGAAGCTCCTGACCTTTCCGGATTGCGAAGGCTTTTTCGGACATAAAACTCCCGATCTCAAAATTGTGACCTAAAAGCAAGTGAACTTAATTTCAATTTCAAACAACTTATATCATTAAAAAAAAATATTTTGCAATAAAAATTCATTCAAAAATTAAAAGATTTTTTATTATAAGAAAAAATACTTGCATTTCCTACACACACTTATAAAAATTTCTCACAATTCATTGCAATTACCTAGTGATTTCCTAAGTAAATGTGAATGATTTCAAATAGTTGTGAAGTAGGTTGCCATAATTATACAAGTATTTCTGATATAATATTGTTGTAGAAAAACATTTGCTCAAATATCATTTGTGATCTTACTGTTCATTCAAACAAAAGAAAAACCCGGATATATAAATTTTATCTTATCCTCACAAACTGACACATATAATCAGTAAGTACATGCATATATACGACTTAATATATGAAAATACAGATGCCTACATACATATATCAAAGGTAATGTATAGGTAAACTACTATAAAGATAAGATGTTGAAAAATTTTAAAATCTTATCAGAAAATTTATTATCTTGTAAGAACAACAAAAATAAATGCGATGTTGTAAATTTACTCGTAAGCCGGTACATTAATGATTGTCTGAATTCTGAATTGAAAAGTAAAATAACAAAGAAGCCAAGAAGAGAAGTGGTCATTTTTTTAAATTCATTTTAAAGATTTTTTTTATAAATTAAATATTATTATTATCTTGAGGCTTTCACTTTAATTATTGTATAGGAAATAAGAATGTAACACATATAGGGAAGCAATCTTATAGTAAGTCAAATCTTTGTATAGGATAAATTATGTAACACAAGAAAAGAAAAGAAAAGAAATTTGGATCCTGTATGCTTACAACTTATGTACTTACTTATTGTAACACCCGAAATATAAAAACCAAGGAAAAAAGGAATTTCTAATAAATTTCCCTCTGTTTCTCTTTTCAAACTCAACATTCATACCAATAATTTGAACATAATGTTTACATGTTGTAATTTTTAAACATTTTGAACATAAGGATAACGCAAAGGAACTATAATTTTTTCTCAATGGTACTTATATTATTCACGGGGGTTAAATTTTAAATAAAAACTCTGCACTCTTTTTCCACTGACACTCTACTCAAGTGTAATCAACTAAAATAAAAAAAATTTTTATTCATAATAAGCAATAATATGTGTAAACGTCCTTCAGAGATATTTGCAACAAAACTTATAAAAATGAAAGCTTGTTAAAGTGTGTTTCCAATGTAACATAAAAAAATTTTAATCTACTCGTCTTTGTTTTATAGATTCAAAATCAAAAACTAGGTTATGAGTTTCATTAGGATCGCTCAATTATTAGAATAAAGTAAAGCAGAAAATCAGCAAAGTAAAAAATTTTATATATTTTATATAACCAAAAATTTTGGAATTCTATGTGCTATTGCAAACTCTACTTCATTTTCAGAGATAATATTAATAAGGACATTGTACATATCAGGACTAAGCAGTCGATATTAATGATTTAAATAATTTATTTGTTTTTTCAATATTTTAAATTTTTTTTGCAAAAACTGTGATTGAACCTTAAATCTTAAGAACGAAAATCTAAGGTTCTACGCACTACATCAACAAGTCCATTTTTGTATGGAATATACAAGTAGAACATTTTAATCTTGTAACTTTCGGTTTCCTGCTTTAATAAGACCATTGTTCATTGGTTTGGCCAGATATTTGTCAGCAGAACAATCACTCCCGGTTGGGCTTCTAAAGTAGAATTTAATATATTATGGTGGGGGGAAGAGTTAATATATAGTTTCCATTGGTTTTAAATAAATTTTTGAAGGCGATCAATTTTTGGAGATCAGTGGATGTTATTTTACTACGAGTACGTGTGCAATGCAAATTTTTGTGTGGTCAAGTTTTCGGTCAGTGAGTGCTGAGATGATGAGGTCACCGTCTTTGTATATTGACGAGTCACTTGGTTCTTGTATCGGGAAGTGATATTTGCTGAATTAGTTTACAAGCGCTACGAGTCTCTTTTGGAGGATGACTTTTTGTTTAGTTACGAATAATTGTACTATGGTGGGCAATGAGAAAACTGACTTGTTGGCTAGGTTAAGTGTGGCGACTGACACAAGAGAAATTGATTGTTGGGTGCTTCTTGCTTGCAAGAATAACATTTTCTTTGGGATAAGTATGCGAGACGACCAAGGCGATTTTTTGGCCGAAGCAGAATAAAGCGACATAAGCACCTTTATTGTTTCTGAGCACAAATGAGTATGAGTATTTCCAATTACGGAAAACTTTCGTTCCAGTAAGATGCGAGGAAACCGAATGCGGCTTCATCAAATATTTTCTGGATTTCCTATGACGTTTAAGTGGTGGGTAAAAGAGAAGGAAATATCCAGAAAAGTACCAGTTCGGGGTTTTAAAAGAGATACTGAAGAGAAACCTATTTGCAATCATAAAAGACGTTGGATAGTTATAAGAAGCATAACGTATTGTTGAAGGTTGCCGATGACAACATCGTCATTCGCGTATCAAATATTCTTATAAAAATATAAGAATATTTGATGGATATGAATTTTGCAGGAGTGATCTTAAAATAAATAATTCATGACTATGACAATTATGACACAGCAAAACTTGCAATATTTTAACAAAAATCTTTCTATAAAATAAAGACAAAACCAAAAACGCAATCATTCAAGGTTAAAAATTAATTCAGACAACTTAGAGTCGAATATTATTAAACATTAATAACTTTTAATTTTCCAGCTCTATTTTTATAAGATTATCTGCGAATTCCATATAACTTAATTTCGACATTAGGTAAGTTAAATCCAAAAACTAGTCCAAAAATTATATAATACTCGCCGTCTTTCGCTCAAGATCATCTCAAAGAAATTACCAAATTTTTTATTTTTAATCTATTTAAGCGCAACTATAAAAATCATATTATTAATTTTTTTGTTATTAACCTTTAAATTTATAAAAATAGTTAAAAGAGACCATAGAATTAGAGTGTAATTTTCTTTCCAAATTCTTTCATTTTCCTTTTCAAAATTTATTATTAACTTTTCTCAACAAGAAAATTACTTTGTATTGCAACAAAAGACAAAGTAATATTGTTGGAACACAAAAAAAAAACTCAGTAATTATAAGTTCCCTCCAGAAATGTATAGAAAAATTATCGCCTTCTCTCCTAAAATTGCAATCAAAAGTAAAAAAATAAACATAAATTTGTATAAATTTTCAATCAACCACAAAATACAACTTAGTTGATTTTATTTCAAACTTGGATTAACATGTTCCGCGGAAAATTTTCAATCTAAACGCGATCGCAAACAATTTAAAAAGAACTGTAACAATAGAGGAAAAAACTGAAAAAAAAAAAAATAAATAAATAAATTGTTATTAAAATATAAATATACTAATTTTAATATAAAAACACAAAAAAATAAAATGAGATATTTAAAAATTTTAATTTTTATATGTGTGATTATAACATTTACAATAGCAAGGAAACGTAAAACGCCGCATAATAAATTAATGGGTAGAGCGATTATCGATTGGCATTATGTAAAACCAATGCGTATTATGTCGCGTCCATATTCATATTATAGTAATAGTGATAAAAGTTATTTTCAACCATTAACAATGGATATAACAAAAAATATTAATGAAAATCATTATAATGGTGGTCGTAGTCTTGGTTTCGAACATGTACATCGTAAACATGGTGCTGTTAAAAGGATTTTTGGTGGTAATATTGCATTACATAATTCATTTCCATATCAAGTTGGATTATTATTAAGAGGTCCAAGAGGATTAAATTGGTGTGGTGGTTCATTAATATCTGAGGATTATGTTGTTACAGCAGCTCATTGTATTGATATGTAAGTATGGGTTTAAATACAAATTTCCGCCTATATATAACAAAAAATATAAGAACTATCAGATTCAGATGAAATTTTATAATAAAGAACAGTTTAATTTTGGAAAATTTAATTTCGTATTTCAAATACGATACTCTAGTTTAGCCAAGCGACACTAAAATGATTATATTTAGAATTATTATTAAAATGTCAGTTTAGAGCAAAGTCGCTCTCAAAAATATTGAAAGAAATTTATATTTTCAAGCAGAAATAATTTTGAATTCGGAAAATTTTTTAAGGAATTTTAATAAATTTTCTATAAATTCTGAAACCATTTGCATTCTCAAACTATTTGCTTCAAAATTTTTCATTTATCATCTTCATTGTATTGAAAAAAGTTATGGAATTTCAGTGCTTTATAATCCAGAAACATAACATTAAGCTGAACACCATGCCATCTTAATTCACCAATATTTTATTATTTTATTATCACCTACTGAAATTCACTTGCTAATTAATACAATTTATTAATTAATTAATTTACTATGCATTCATACTAATTCCTGTACTATAATATTATTTTAATTGGCTATAAATTCGCACTTTTTCTGCATAACTAACACCAATATCATTATTTGCAGCTTAATATACAATTTGAGCTACTAATTCGGCAATAAGTTTTTCTTTCTATGGATTGCAAAAAAAATGAAGTCAAAAATTTTTTTTTTTTACAAAATTCATTCAAGTTTTTCTTCTTCTTCTTCTTTATCTTAATCTTTTTAAGTATTATATGAGGAAATGTACAATAATTTTTTTGTTTCCAAATGACCAATTTCTAAGTTGGTTAAAAACTTTTTTTTTTCTTCTTTTCTATTTAAATTCAAGTAGACACTTCAATTACCAAGTGTTTTAACACTTGAATTATTTTAAGAAATTTATTTTAACTATTTCTTATTCATTTCATTTACTTTATGATATCTTGATCAATCCTATGTCATGCTACATACACTTATACATTATGGTCTTAAGTGAGGTTTTGGGGTTGAACGTATATACTCGTACTAAGAAATTTTAAATTTATTGCAATTTAAATTTGAAATATATTTTTCTATTATTTTCTTCCCATTTCTTTCTATACACTCGTACATATTTCATTTAGCAAACACTGTGCTTGTATTAGTTTTTGTTTTTTTGGGTAAAAGATTTATTGACCCAATTGTTCATCGACCATTGAAAGAAATTTCGTGATACTTGATGGTGTCAAAAAGAGAAATAATAAAAAACAAAATAAAATTATTATTTAAATAGAAAAATTTAAGCATTCCAAATGAATAGACAAGCAACTAAATAAAAAAAAATATTTCAAAATAATTTTTTCATTAATAACAATACTTAAGTAATAATTTTAATAAATAATATTAAAGTCTAATTTATTATATAGGTAAACTGCTGATTTATTCATTAAAATAGCTAATTATAAGCGAGTTTAGTAACGAAAAAAGTATAGCTAATATTATAATTGCAAATGGATAAAAAAAAGAGAAATAGTCTTCCTTATTATTGTTATTCACCATTTACCCATTGCTTTTTATTTTTCACTATTCACCCACTTTTCATACATTTTCTTTTAATTTTTCCAAATTTTTCTTTTCCTATATTATGAAAGGGCACAAAAAACACTTGTATTTCTTGGTAGCTATGAAATTAAAAATCCAAATGAAGCTGGTGCTAAACGTATTGAAGTTTTAAGTTCACATTTTATTGTACATCCTGGATGGAATCCAAGACGTTTAATACATGATATTGGTTTAATAAGATTTCCACAGCCAATTGTTTTTACAGGTAAATTTATTTTAAAAATTATAATTTTTTTTTAAAGTAAAAATCATTTAAATTCTTTAAGAATTCTGCTTTAGATTCAATACAACCAATTAAATTACCAAATCGAAATAAGATAACATCTTATGAAGGTCAAATTGGTGTTGCATCAGGATGGGGACGATTTCAAACATGTAAGTGAAAAAAAAACGTGTAAAATTTTTAATTTTATGCATTTGTATTTTAATAATGCAATACTAACAGGAGCCCATCATACATTCCATATTTTATTAATTGAGTACAAAAAAATTTGTTCAATTCATATGTTGTTATCAAGGTCTTTTCAGATTAATATCGGAATATTGTTTTACTAATTACATTTTTTATTCGCAAAAATTTTACTATAATTATATTATTTAAAATAATAGTGTTCTAAGTTATAAAGAAATATTGGAAATATTTAATAGTGAAATAGTCGTTAATCCTCATCACATTCTCAAATTAAAGCTAAAAGCATTTGTATAATATTCCTGAAGTCGAGCAATTTACTCATTTAATTTAACTTTGAAATTTTATGTGCGTAAAGCATTAAGGCGAAAACAAAATAATTCAACATTTTATCTTTACCTACATAAAATTACAATACCATAATTTAATCATCAATTTAATTTTCAGCCTCACCCACAATTTCATATTTTTTACGATATGTTGAATTACCGATAATTAGTCAAGCTTCATGTTTATCAAATTATCCATTTTTATTACAACCATCAAATATTTGTACAAGTGGAGCAAATGGTAAATCAACATGTACTGGTGATTCTGGTGGTCCATTAACAGTTGAAGAAGATGGTAAAAAAATTCTTATTGGAATTACATCATTTGGAAGTGTATTTGGTTGTGAAAAAGGTTTTCCAGGAGTTTATACACGTATAACATCATATTTAGATTGGATTTCAGATATTACTGGAATTGGATATGATACAAAAACAAAATCTGAAGAAAGTGAAGAAGAAATTTCAATTGAAAATGAATCTGGTGGTGGAGATATTGATTTTGGTGTAGATGATTATCGAAGAAGACGAAGAAAACTTAAAATTTTAAATAGTTGAAAGTAAAACTGAAAAAAAAAACAATACGAAATTATTTTAAAAGAAAAATTATTTATTAATTTTATTAAATTACTCTGATTACTGAATTCTTTTTTTTTTAAACTAATCTCAAATGTCCTTTAAAAAAGTAAAAATAAAAATTTGCATTTTAACTTAGGAGAAAAATAAATTGCTTGTTAAATGAAATGTTTTAAAGAAAATAGAGAAATAAAATTTTAATTATTATAAGGTCTTAATTAATCTTGTTTTAATTATGTGTATATGGGCTACTTTCGGGTTATAACCACATTTCATTGTGAATCTTAATATTTTCATTACAGGACTATTTTTAATGACAATTTTTAAAGGAAATTTATTTTATTTCCCACCTGCCCTTTAGTTAGATTTTAGCTATAAAATATTGTCAAGTTTTTATTCTAAAGTTAATGAACCCGATAATTAATTGAAATTTTCAATAACTTGACTTCCACTTCAAAATAAAGTTTTTTTAAAAAATCTAAAATTTTTCCTTAATTCTTCAACTATAAAAAATAATTCAATTATTTTCTTTTTCAGATTTTATTAAATTTTTATTGATGGATTTTAATTCTGAGGATTTTTCTGTTTTATTTTTGTAATTGTTACGTAACATAATTTTTTTCCTTTCCTATATTTTTCTTTTCATTATTTATTATTAAAATAAATTATGAAAGAATGAAAGTTAAAAATTATAATAAAATTAATTTTACGTCATCGCTACAGGGAAAATTACAAAAAAACAAAAAAAAAAACACATTGCATATTAAAATGCACAATGCACAAAAAGGAAAAAAGTTAATCATAATGCATATTATTAAAATTCGTACACAATGCAATTTCCTATATTATTCAATTGGCATATCGAATACATTTTCATTAATTTTCACTTGATTTAAAAACGAAAAAAAAACTTTTTTTGTGTATTGCATTTATTTTTCATTTTCCCATAGTTATCAGCATAATTTTGTATATATGTGTGAACAATTGTATATATATATTTCAATAAAATAAAATTATATAGCTATTTTAATTTTTTTAATTACTTCATAATTATAAAATCGATCATTTACCGTGTATTCGTATTATAAACGATTGATTATCTCATATATGAAAATTCATTTAATTAAAGTAAAAAAATTTTCATATTAAAGGTGAAATTAAAGAGTTTAAAATTTTAGGTGCCTGTGATTTCTCTAAAAACATATCGGAAACTGTAAACCTATTCTAAAGCTATTTGTCTCTTATCTGTACAATAGATTTCACATTCAACTTACAAAAAATATTTACAGAACCTGATCGTATATTTCACTTTTTTATTCACTTTTTATTCACTTTCAAATCAGAATTCTCAGTATTTTCAAATGAATGTTTGAATTTTCCAATAAGATTATCCATTTTTTCCATTGGAGTTTTGCATTTTTTCTTAAATTAACGACTGAAGGTCTCACTTTCAAAAACAAAGTGAATAAATTTTGTATATTACTCACTTTCCGAGAAAAATAGCGAGATAAATGATCAGACCCTTATTGTATGTTATGTTTGAATATGAAATGTATTTTAGATTTTAGATTTCATTGTAAGGGAAAGAAAACATAAATTTTCGGGAAATTTCGAGGTTTTTAAAAAAAAATTTCAAAAAAAAAAAAAACAAAATTATGACTTTAACGAGCTTCATCGTAAAAACTACTGTTCAAATCTTATTGACTGTAGCACTAAAAACAAATAACAATGAATAATCTTTAAAATAAGCCCTCTATGGTTATTACACGTCGCATGGTTCCGAAGTTATAAGCTTTTATTTATATGGAGGGAAAATCTAGTACTCCTTTTTTCAAGAAGCTGTAGCTTGAAAATAAACATATCTGCACTTCTCCCCGCCCCAAACCCGTACATTTTTTTAATGGAAATTAATCAAAGGGTCATCCGTGAAATTTCCACCTTGTACGAAACATATTATATAATGATTATAACAATAAAATTTACAATAAATTTCAAGTTTTATAATTAAAAATTCTCTCTTTAATAAATCAATCCAAAATTTAAAATATTTAATTATTTGTATTTAAAATCATTAAATCATAATAGAATTACTCTAGTTACATAATTAAATTAAAAACTATAAAACTGTCTGACTCATCCCACGATTAAATTGCTATATAAAAAATATTAACAACATCAATTAACTGACAAACAGCATTTTATGATCAAAAACGTTAAAATGATCAATTTAATAAGATATAGTGCGCTAGAAGCAAAGTAACAAAAACTCACCATATATGTGGTGAATTGAGAAATGATACTCACCACATTTGTGCAAGCTGTTCGTTGCAAAGCTTATCTAATTGTTGATACAAATTCATTTTCCATTATGCAATAATTTACCGGTAAATTTCCAAATTCTTCCAGTGTAATATTTAATTTTCATACTTTTCACTTTTCAATACCAGATTGTCCAAATGTTCCAATTTCCATTTTATTAATATACGATAAGAATCTAAATTATGATATGCGTAATGGTGCTGATTTACTTGAAATTTTTTTTTAAATAACTCTATGCTCTTAAACTTAAAATTCATTTTTGAAAATAATTGATGTCAAGTTATTATTCCAATTATTATCAATATATGGTCTGCTAATGTTATAATTCGATAACAAACACTTTTATGAATATTTTATGTATGAATAATAATAGTTAGATAATGTAATAAACAATAATTATTACCAACTCGATTACCAAGTAATTTTATGATTAATGCTTGTTTATAAAGAAAAAATTGAATTTAATTTTTTACTATCTGCCAACTACATTCGCTTCAATTCTAAGCATAACGTGGTATTTTGCTCCGTATGTGAGTTTTTATTGTGAAAAAATTACCAAAAAAATTTTTCATTTTCAATTAAAAATTAGGTTAATCGAACGTATTGCATAAAAAAGAAATTAAATCGCGTTATTATCAAGAAGAAAATAAATTTTTACCGAAAACTATGAAATTTCTTTAATAATTGAATTTTAATTTTAGTAATTTTTCTTCTATTAAGTAATTTTTCTTGTAGTTCCCACAAAAATCGGTTAGAAAAACTAAAATCACGATAATAATCTAAAAAGAAAAATTTGACTTCAATACTGGAATTAAAAGACTTTACGTATTACAAATATTGCGTTTTTATTTTTTAAAAAATAAAATCGAATTAATTACAATTTAATTAGCCAATTTTTCAGTAGTTTTCATTATTTTCGTTGCATTTCCTATAAGTTCCCTAATTTTTTTTTCTTTTATCTATATCTTGATCGTTTAATATAAAATTTTTTAAGAACGGATAGCAATACCAGTATTGGCATTGATCCAATCCAAGAATGATGAAATTCTGGTGAATACACCTGGCCAACCGATTTCACAACCGAATGCAATACCGAATGATGTAGCACCGAGTAAAGTTTTTGAACCATCAGCTTCAGTGTATGCAAGTGGACCACCTGAATCACCTTGACATGTTGATTTACCACCGCTACCTTTAATACAAATATGGCTGTCCTTAATTCTGCCAATGTATCGGACATTACAACGCCAATGAGCTAAAACTGGTACTTCAACAAAACGGAGAACTGGTGAAACAGTTTGTGATTTATCAGAATCTTTTCCCCATCCAGATGCGATAACAGCTTTATCAACAAAACTTTCTTTAGCTTGTGATTTAGATGGTAGATTGATTGGTTGAACACGATCTAATAATTGAAAAGGAAAGACCAAAAACAAAGGCAATTATTAATAAAATTTTAATAAAAATATTTTTCTTTATAAAATTTCTTACCGTTAAATTCAAGTTTTTGTGGTAAACGGATCAATGAAATGTCGTTTTGGAGAGTTAACATGCTCCATTTTTCATGTACAATGATATTTTCTTTGCCAACATTGATTTTCAATGTACTTTCTTCAACTTCTTTGATATTATGGGCACCAATGTATACGGTAACTGAATCAGCACTATTTTTTTAAAAAAATGAACGCAATTAAAATTAATTTTCCTCATATAATTTAAATTATTATTAAAATTTACTTTTCTGTACAATGAGCAGCAGTAAGAACCCATTCATCAGAAATGATTGAACCACCACACCATCCTTGTTTATCACCAATATGTAAAGCTAATCCAACTTGATATGGGAATTGTCCTGGATGTGCTTCATTTCCACCAACAATACGTCCAGAATGGAAACCTTCTGCTTCTGGATATGAAGGAATTGGTGCAATCAAATCAACTGGTTCAATATTATCAATATCGATTTGAGCTGTTGCAATAGCAACGGTAGCCAAAAGTACTAAAGCGAATTTCATTTTGATTCAGTTCGAATTCAATTCAAATTAGCGAATACAATCGAAAATTTTTTTACGTTCTATATATAGGACACTTTGAAAGTATAACTTATACCGTTATTTATTTTTGTAATTCTTAAGTGATTAACTTATCGCTTAAATCTTTTTGATATTCTAATTGATAAAAATTTCCCAACCGAAAAGATTTATTTTATGATTACAAGCTTTTTATTTTCAACTATCTTTAAAATCGCTAAGGTAATTTTTTGAAGTGATTTTTTTTTAATTTTGTAAGTATACACACATTCGTAGCCATGCAATATTTTGTTATCACATTTTTTAATCAATATCTAAGTCCTTCTGTTTATTATAGAATTGACTAATCCACTCTAAGATATTAATAGATTTCGGTTTTGAAGAACCCTAAGCTTTAAAAAATTCCGTCGTACAATATTGACACATTGTTGTTATAGTTATAAGTTGTAAGTTTTAAAATTCTACAAAATTCAATATTTTTAAATAATAAAATTATTTTTCAATACTTTGTTTCATATTTTTTTCACGATTTTATAAAATTAAATTCTATTTCAATTATAAAGTCTCAAATTAATTTGTCAAATTTGGAACCGAACTTTTAAAAAGGCTCTGGAATGAAAATTATTGAAGTTCAACTGAATATATATAGAAGCAAATTGTTCGATAATTGAACTTTTAGTTTTGACTCTATTGGCAATCAATAATAAATTTAGTATGTCCAGCTTAAATTATTTCAGCAAAATAATAAAGACTAAACACAATTCAATCGCCTATTACTTATTTACATGACTCTAAGCATAACTACTTTTATTTATAAGTATTGATAACTCTAAACAAGCTGCAACAAATAATTTTTTTTTCAACAGCACATTTTTCAAATCAATTCTTCTGTAATTATCATAAAAGAGCACATATCCCATAATATACTTGTACCATTCCTGATGTTTCCAAATACAAAATCTAATATATTTAATCATAAGCAATTATTTCAGATAAAAATGGCAATACCCCAAAAAAAAAACACAAACTACAAATTTTTAAACATAATGGCACTAACATAAATAATATACTAAAATATCCTGTTATCAATAGGACGATTAGATTATAGAGTAAACCGCCAAATAACAAAAAGAAGGATTAACATAGTAATAACAATAATAATAATAATAATAAGAATTTTGTACCGAAAATTAAAAAATATTGTTATTAATTTATTAGAAAATCACTGAGTTCGTCATAAAATTTCAAACTGATTAAAATAGGAATTTATGATTCAGAATTAATCCACTTTATTTAATAATAGAAATGATTAATAATATCTTAGATTGCATTATCTTCTATAAGGAACTCCCCTGAATTTTAAAGATTATGTTAAAAAAGATTTAATACACAATTTACTCTAATACACTGCTAGTCATTACTTTCTTTACTTTAATACACTGCTAGTCATTACTTAAAAGATTCTGGTAAATATATATTGCATAAAGTAAAGCAGATTAGTACGAAGTAAGAGGTCATTTAACGGCCCTTACATAAAATTTATATAAAAATTAAATCATAAAAATAAATGATTCCAAATTCCAGAAATAAGAACCATTTGCATTCATTATTATGATTTAATTATTTAAAAACACATAAGAGACCATAATTTTTCAAATTTCCACAGACCGCATAATTTAGAGAATTTCTGGAAACTATAATTTTGCAAAAAAATAGCCCATATTTAGTTTTTAAGAAAAAATAGCCCATATTTAGATTATTTTTTTTTTACACAACAAAGTTCTCGAAAATATTCTTATAAAAAAAAGCAAATTAAGTGAAAACAGTCTAGTCTGTATTTAATTTGATCTAGAAGTTATTGGCTCTAATATCATGACAAGATCACTTAAAATTACTGTGATGTTCAAGAATCGGAACTAAAATAAAAATATTGTTTAAAGAGTAAATTTTTTCAAGTGTTTTTTTTTTGCCCTAAAATAAATTATCAATAAAATGGTATGACATTTTCCGAAATTTTTTATTTTAATTTTGGTAATCGAAATAAAAATATGAGTAAAAAAATTTTAATTTAAAAAAAGTGGAGCTAAAAATTATTAAATTAGTAGGTTTAAAAACATTTTATGTAATTCGTATTTAATTAAAAAACTTAATTAATCCTCATAAGTGATAATAAAATCAAAAAAACAAGTTTCAAATGGTTTTTCTATAAAATTACCACTTTCAAATTGATAATCTCTTGTAATTCTCAGATAATTTTATTGGTTATCAACAGAAAAGATTCATAGTTTTCGCTATCAATTAATAGTTTTAATTGATAATGAAAATTTTACACCCGTACATTATTTACCTACATAATACGGATAATTATAGAATGTAAATAAAGAAAACATTGTATTCTTCGCCTAATTTTATGCAAAATTTTCATTCTTATAAGACAATTTGAAGCAACACTTCACTTGATAAATAAATTTCGTCTCAAATGCAAATAAATATGTAAAAGATATTTCTAGATATAACATGTAAATAAATAAGTAGGATGGGGCCAGTGACGAGTAGAGAATTATTATTTGTTTATATTATCTTAATGTTATACTGTATATTGTTCGAATTTCAATACTATTATTTAATGTATGAAATAATGTAGGGTAAAAATTTAAATTGATAATATTATTAGCTATTGCTTGCGACTCAAAATTTCTTAAGTTTTCAAATGTAGACATGAACATTTAATTGACAAACTGTAAGAAATGTTAAAACACTTTTTGTTTTTAAATTTCCGGTAAAAATCTACCGATTATTAAAAAAAAATATTTGTAATTAAAAAACCAAATCTCGCCGAAAACCGGTAATATATTTTTAATATGACCACACTGAAATCCAACTAAAAAAATTACGATATAATAATGTTATACATTTAACCCTGAAGTAATACATTTAATTGTTTAAGTAATGAGATTAAGGGAAAATATTTTCCAAATTTCATTAAGAGCAACATTAAAAGTAATTAGTGCACAAAAAAATATAGTAAAGAGCTAGGAGACCATTAACTCATTAACTAGCTTAAAATATTCATTATGTCTATATAAGTGTCAGTGATAATCTGAGGAGCAATTTGCTAAGCATAAATGAATAATATTTTATAGGCTTATAATTAACCTAAAAAGAGAATATATTTTCATTATAATGTGGCCATGTGAAAATTTTGTATCAAATTTTGCCTATACTTTTAAGGATAAAGTTTTTTTTATAAATTTTGGGTTCGAATAAATTTCCAATAATTTTCTTTAAATTACTAAAAATATTTACAAAAATTAGAAAATTTAATTAGGTGAAATTAAAAAATTACTTAACAATTATTCGTAGTTCCTATATTATATGTAAATATGTATTCATAAATGTAAAACGTATGTTTAAATAAATTTTTTTATTAATTTGTTATAATGACAATCTTAAAATATTAATTAAAATATTCTATAAAGCTATATAAGTGAAAGAAAAAAATAAAATAGGTAGAAACTGTATTGAACACTGGGACAAACATACGTATATACACAATAACTATACAAATATTCACATAAATATATATATATACAAATATATTTAAATTAGTCTTCTGGGAACATTATTTCACAAATTCCAGCATGTTTACATATCCATCCTTTATAATCAGCAACTTTTGTATATACTCTTGGGAAATTTTGTACACATCCTCTACTTGTAAATGATGTAATACCAATTTGACGTTTACTAGCTCTATCTTGTGTATTATTAACATTAAAAACTAATGGTCCACCAGAATCACCTTTACATGCTCCAACCTAAAAAGCAATGTTTTTTTTTTTTTATTGATGAAAAAATATTTGTAATTTCAAATTAATCTTAATTACCATATTTTCAGTATAAACACAAATGTTAGTTTGTGAAACTTGCCAAAGTTTTGCTTTACAAGCATCTTGATTCATAACTCTTACAGTTGCCGATTTCATAATTGCTTCATAATTATCAACTGAAAATAAAAATAAAATTAGTAAATTTAAATTATAATTAATTACAAAAGAACATTTTGTTATTTTAGAAACGAAAGTATTTTAGGCATTTTTTTTCAACTTCTTAGCTTTACTGTTACAATTGTGTTATACTGAACTGTTATACTGTACTAAATTTTGTATGGGTTAGCACAATAAAGCAATTAACAAGTCAAAATATTTAAAAGTAGTTCACAATATGATGAGATTTTTTACTAGTAATTAATTTCTACTCAATATTCAATAAAACTAGTCTCCTCAATTTGTATTCCAAGCTTTTTCAAAAAAATCGACTTATTCTCTAAAGAAACTTGAAGATGTGTAATACATGTGTGATAATAAAACCAAAATTTCCTTACAATAAAGCTCTTTAACTTACTTTTTTTTATTTTATATCTTCAATTTCATCCTCTAGAAGAACTATTATTGCAATGGTTTATATAATACTAAAAAGTTCAAGGTTTAGACCTAGATATATAAGTGCTCAAATTTTTATTGAACTTGAATTTAAGAACATATTGTAACCAGATTTGCTTACAACTTGTAATGAACTCATAGACAGTGTGTATTTACACATTTTATTCCTTCCAAAGTTTAAAGTAATGTTGAATTTCGGCAAAATAGCATATTATGGAAACATACAAGAAAAAGAGAACTATTATAATTACAAGCTACTTTGCATGTATTGGCTATAGTGGAATAACAAAAAAAAAATCGGCATTTTTAATTAGTGTTCTTGTGATTCTTTTTTGTGAAGATTAACAAACCAGTTTTAAAGTTTTAATTTTAACTAAATTCATATAATCATAATGTTAGATTAGTGTATTAGAAAGCTTAATTCATACAAACTATAAGATATGTTTGCTCTTATTACAGTTAAAATTTTAATTTTTCCTGAAGCAATTTTTGTTCACGTCATCTAAAAAGTATATTTAAGTTTCATTGCCAACACGATATATTCAAAGTTAAGATTTTTCTAATCTCATCCAGTTTAAATAAATATTAACCATTAATTATATTATTATACCGTATAACAGTATGTATATTATGTGATTGATTGATTTAATTAAATGCATATGCCATAACATTTAGCGAAAGCTGAACAAATATTTATCAAAAAAAACTTCGTGATCTATATTCAAATATAAATTTTTAGTATCTAAGGTAATAAAGATGTTATAATTTCATCAGACAAATGAAATTATATATGCTGCTAATAGATTTCTGTACTTGTATATCTTATAATTTCTGATCTGTAGCAAAATTAAAATCTCCAAATTATTCTTCTTCCCACAAACGTAAGATTTTATTTGAAATATGATTTTTTAATATGCTGATATAATAGCCTATGGGATCACAAAATTTAACGAAATTTGGAAAATTAAACTAAACAGTATGATTGATTAAAAATAACATTTAAGCCAATTACAATAGCCACTACTAATTTGCTCCGAAGTCAAAAGCCTTCGATTATGAAAATCATTTATTATTATTAAAAAAAAAAATAAAAAGGATATTCGAAAAAAAAATAGTGAATTCTTACCTGCATCTGATGATCTACCCCAGCCAGAAATTATTACTGGTATATTTTCAAATGTATTTTTAGATAATCTGTGACTAACTAGATCTATACTACAAATTCTTTCTGAAATTATTAAAAAAAAACAAAATTATAAACATAATGAAAAATCTGTTTAATTTTTATACTTGCATACATTTAAAAAATTTATGTATGTGAATGTTATAATAAGTAATAACTTAAGGCTAACAATAAGGCTAACTACTCATGAAAAAAAAAGACTAGACATTGATTCTTACCTGAAAAAACTAATGGTGTCTTTAATTTAATAATTGCAATATCATTTTGTTTTGTTTTATCATTCCATTGTTCATGTATAACACAATCAGATAAATTAAAATTAATTAATAATGAACCGGGTTCCGGTTGATCACGATTAATCACACCAACATATAATGTTCCTTCACTTGCCAAATATGCTTCACTAAAAATTAACAAATTAATCAAATATATTATTAAAATTAGAAATTTATGAAATTTAATTTAAAAAAGTGAAGTTGAAAATTTGATGGTGTATGATTCGTAAACTTAATGCTATAACTAGATAACTTGAAAATGTTATATTTTTAGATAATTAACCTAGGCGTCATAAAATCGAATGCTCTTTCGTCTTCGACCAATATCTAAGCTTAAAAGTGTTCTTAAATATTTCAAAATGATAATCCCAAAATCAAGAAATCTTAATGATAAATTATTTGTTTTTGTTAAATTTTGTATCTTTAAAAGTCTCTAAACTAATAATTGCAAGTCAACTAGTTGTAGCATTAACCTCACTATATAAAAATAACTAAACATATTATATGTATACTAATATACCGAGGCATATATATACATACATATTTAAACTTATTTTACAGCTTAGTTTGTATTTATACATAGTAGGTACTATAATATAAGAAATTTTTTTATTTGACAAATCTCATAATTAAAACAATGAAAATGTTTTCAAAATATTGCTTAGATTTTGATCTAAATCATTTTCAAGAGTTCAAAGAGAAATTTGAAATTCATTGCACCGAAAAAAAAAATTTGCAAGAAATTTCGAATTTAAAAAAAAAAAAAACAATTATTAAAAAAAAATCTGATTTAGACGAGCTTTATCTTAAAAACGATGGCTCATATCAAACTGATTGTAAATTTGATATAAAGAGCAATCAATCGTCTTTTAAATAAGCTCCCTATGGCTTCTCTATGCCCAATGGTTCCGAAGTCATAAGCATTTATTTATATGCAGGAAAAATCTGCAACCTTATTTTACAATAGACTGTTGCTGGAAAACGGGTATATTTGCATCCCTCCCATACATATAATTTTTTGCTGAAAATTGATCAAAGAAACATCTCTGGAATTACTGTAACTCAAATAACACCTGTCTTAAAATCAAAATCATTATCTTTTTAGTGTATGAATGAAAATAATAATTGGAATCAAATTTAAAATTCGACTAGTAATTATTAGAATCGGAGAGAAATAATTAAATAAATTTAGACATTTTTTATTACTTATTCTAAAAATATATGCCACTTTTGTTTTGTATTATTTCTATTATACCAAAAATAAACAAAAATTTCTGATCATAATCCAATTTATGGTTCTAATTCCGACATGATAATATGAAATCGACATACTTAGTTCAATTTCCAAATATAAAAAATTAGTTTTATTTATTTTGATAAATCTTAAACAAATTATGAAAACTTTAATAACAAAAATTAAAAATCACTATAAATTTTGAAAATTTTTAAAATGCAAAAAATTTGATTTAAAAGCGACAATATTTTTATCATAATCGATGGAAGTCATTCAAAAATTTCACTTAACAAACATTTCATTGTTTTTATCATAACCTATGCTAACATTTGAATAATAATTTTTAATCTCAAAACTTGAAATACGTTGTACATACATATATACATACATGCATTCTTATTATATAACTAAATTTATTATTAATGTAAATAAATAAAAAAATATTCATACCCTTTCAGACAATGTGCAGCAGTTAAAATTATATCACGCTAAAAATATAAAAAAAAAAAAAAAACCAAAATAACAAAAGTAAAAATTTTAATTATTATACAGAAAAACTGGTAAAACATGAAATCATAAGTAAATAAATAAAAATTTATTGTTATACGTACATATACAGGCACACATACAGACCTATTGCATATTCATCTACACAACAGATATTGTATGTGAACTTTTTTTAAATAGCAAAATAAATTAGTGTTACATTGTATACACAATATGAAACTTCTACTCTCATATTTTAGTACTAGTATAATAAATATGAGAGTTTAAAGTGCATGAATATTAAAAAAAAAAAAAAATATACTTACCGATAATATAGAGCCACCACACCAACCACTTTGTTGACCAATTTTCACTTTCATACCAACTTGATAACAAAATTCTGTAATATCAGTGACCGTATCACCACCCATAATACGATCATCAACAGAATGTGGTATATCAATACCACTATTATTATCACTGCCACTACCATTATTTGTATTATTACTAATATTAATAACTGGATTATTTAATGATGGATCATATGGATCAAAAAAATCAATATCATGAATAATTCTGTTATTCCTTTGTTGACCACTAACTGATTTTAATGATAACATTGCTAATGTTACGAGTACCAATAATGTTAAAGTTCTGAATTTCATTATTAATTAATTAATTTTCTTTTCTATCTAAATTAAAGACACTATTCACAAAATCTTTTAATCAACTAATGCTTTAAAGGAAAGTGTTCCTTTCTTTATATGATTTTTTTAGGATTCGAAAATATTTTTAATTAAAATTTTTTTTTAAAAAAAAATTTAAAGCTAAATAAACACAAAAATATTATTTTAAATTCATGTTTTTTTATTTTTTTTTAATTTTTCATTATTATTTTTATTATTATTGCAATTAGTTATTAAATTGAAAATTTAAATGAAAAATTTTGAAAAATTAAAATATTTACTAACTAATGTATGTATGTATAACTGTATATGTAGCTAAATTTATACTTAAAATAAATAATATTATAAATAGAATGGCGTATAATGATTCTACCACCTGAAGAGTTAACAAACGACTGTTTTGTTGTGTACGTCGCACCTTGAATCAATAATTGATCTAAAAGTTTGTTTATTTGAGCAGATGCGAGTGAGAGCGCCGTGTCGTGTTGATTATTTTGTTAATTTTTGCTGTTGCTGATTTGATTCTTAATTTTAGCGTTTTGTTTTTTGTTATTGTTATTTTTTTTTTTTTTAATATTTTATACTTGCTAAGTTGCTATTTTTTTTATGCTTTGTTTTGGGTTTTTTTTTTTTGCGGTAGTGTTTGGCTGCTTTTTTTTTTATTTATTTTTCTCTTTTCGTAAATATTAATACGCTATCATTTAAAAATGTTTGAAATTTGCATAAATAATATGATTATGGTGACTAATATGGTATTGGTATAATAAACTAAATTTTAAGATTTAGAATTGATTAAATTTAAAAACAAATAAAAACGATTCGGTAAGAATCAATCGATCGGATTATATCCTGCACACATTTTATATTTTTATAGCATTTACTCGAACCTGTGAAACTATTCTATAGAAACTTCACGAATATGTCTGACCTATAATTGGACACACGAATGCCAAGATTCATTAATCTAACTGTATTATTTTCCCAAATATTTAAAATAACATCTTAATGGTATCTTGCAGCTATCAGAACCCGTTGTCTGATTTGGTTCAATTACAATAACAACCGTCCTTGGCACCAAAAAAAAAGAACTTGTGAAGCAAAAAAAAGAATCTGTCGATTGCATGGACGAACGGACAGATGGATGGACATGGCAAAGCAAACGTCATGGGTAGACTATGGAAACTGTATTTCACTCATACAACCAACTAATTTTGAGATTTGCATTAAAACTGCTTCACGAATTCGCATTTTCGTAAAAAGGTGGATCGTCTTGTATTTCGTCTTGTATTTTTCGTAAAAAGGTGGATTTGATCGTGGCCTATTGCACGAATCGCATTTTTCTCTTTCATTAATAAAACAATCGAAAAATCTGAAAAGAATCAAAATACTAATGAACTCTGTATACTATAATAAAAAAAATTAAATAATAATTTCTTTATATTTAACGTGTATCATATTTGAAATTGTCAAATTTATATTTGTACGTAAAATACACCTGTCAAAAGGTTTTTCAATGCTTTTAATTTTCAAAGCGTGAGAAATGTCAAAATATCCAATTTCCATTATTAGGTTATATTGAACAAAATATTGTACACTTATTTCAGCTCGACTCCTCATCTTCACAATTTCCAGAGAATTTTTATATGCAAAATAATTTCGTCCTCAAACTATATATGTATGTACCTTACAATTGTTACAAGCAATCTCTCATTTTTATTTGACAACTAAAATTCACAATATTAATATTTATAAACATTTTTATAGATTATTGTATGGATGACGAATATATCGAGTGATACAATTTAACATATAAAAAAAATTTGGAGCCTACCAAATATATTTAAATAATTTGATTTTAATTTTAGTGATAAGAAATTTATGGGTGTAACTTTTTTATTTACATAATTTTAACAGACACAATTTAATTAATGTGTTGATATTATCAATAGCTTTACACACTTTCTGTTTTGATTTTCAATAACTCGTTCAAATCAAATTCCTGAAGGTCACACAAAGCATAATTTTCATGTAACATTCTGCAATAATTAATAAGGTAGCATATAAGAAAATACAATTAAAAATACAATCGTCCTGTTCCTGCTTCACATTCGATTGACTGCGTACATGGTATTGAATTTGTTTGTTCAAAATCTAATTACACATTCATTGTGAATATTCAAATGTCAAAAATGTTGTGTTTGATATTATCAAATCCATTCAATTCTATTTATTAAATTAAAAGCAACGTATTTAAATTGACAATGAATAATGATAAGCGATTTAAGGAAAAAATGAGTCACTCAAAATATTTTGAACGTTTTCTTAATCTACAAAATTTTTGAAATTTATAAAGAAAACCACAAATGTTTTTCATAAAATATTTTGAACGTCATAAACGAGGAATAATTGCTACGTCACTACTAAAAACTGTTTCTTATATCATAAGGGAATCAATAAAATACGTCATTGGAAATTTAATCTGAATCGTAAACGATTCAATAGAAAAAACATTTTCGAAAAAAAAATTTAGAAAAAAATGCTTATTAATTTCACTTTGTACGTCCGTCTACCCGTGTGTCCTTTTGCAAAACTTCTACACCCTATCCCACAGGGTAAAACTGAAATTTCATATATAGACCCTCACAAATAGACCCTCTTGGTAAAAATTATTTTAGTAGAAAATAACATTTTCAACAAAAATAATTTTTCAATTTTTCTTCCAGATCATAACGTGCTGAAGTCTGAAATTTTAACAGCTTTTAAACACTATAAAAGAATTTATTTTGGTTTCCAGAAAAATTGTTCCCAACTAAATTCGTTTCCAAGTTATTGCCTGTTGAAATTCGTAAAACTTCAATTTTCAGCACCTTAAATTTCTAAAATTTTAAGGTTTTCGGAATTTCTATACAAGGGAAAAGATAACGGTAAATGGTTTGCTTTCAACAAATATAATTATTTACCTCAACTCAATTACTTGGCCGTCAAATTCAACCATTATGTTACCGCTTCCTTAAATTTTTTTCTTTTGCTCATCCTAATGGTATGCAATAAATTGATATATTTTGGAATATGAATAAACGTATAAATAAATAATGTATAGCACTAATATTAAAAGCAATATTTTCGCTAGTTTAGAGGAAAGATGCTTTATTACAAACCATTCATTTAGTCCCACATTATTATATTAACCCAATGCTCTGCAAGTACCGCATTCTTTAAAAATAATTTTCTTTTTTTTTTTACCCATCAAATTGCATGCCATAAAAATACACCAATTACGATCGCATCAAATTTGATATGCCGAATTTACAAAAGAAAATAAATTCTCCGTATCAAATTACGATTATTTAATCTGCCTCTGCTGTGCCATTTCATTTCGTATCCCAATTTTACCTGAACTTGTTTTAATAAAATTTATGGTATTCCAGTTTACTTTGTAGACGTGCTGGAAATCGATATGCAATCAATTAGCTGGTACTGGATATGCGATCAATTTGCAGGAATTGGATGTGTGATTAATTTGCTGGAATTGTACCTTCCGTACGCTAAAATTTTATTTTCCTAACTATTTCTGTATTATATTAGTACTTTTTGTAAAATTGCATATCTCATTTGGATCAGAAACAAAAAAAAATAATAATAACACAAATTTTCGAGAATGATGAGCTCTATCTTGAAAACTATGACTCAATAAATTGCCTGATCAATTTCCCCGATAGTAACTCTATGCCGCGTGGTTCCGAAGCTATAACCGTTTATTTATATGCAGGAAACATCTAGTACTTTTTTTTTAACTCGAAAACAAGTATATCTACCTCATCCCCACTCACCCATACAATTTTTTACTGGAAATCGATCAAAGAATCATTACTCTGAAATTATTTGCCACATTGCAGCATTACCGGCATTTATAAATCTCATTCTTGTCATACATAATGCGATCGGTTACGTTCTGATCACACCAGATTTTTATTTTTAAAATTCACAATTCAAATTTTGTTTTCTTAATTTTTCCTTATACTTCATTTAAAACTCTATATACCCATATAAATTTAGACTAGCCTCTCAAATTTAAATTAAAACTTACAAGTGTCGCACACATACGTCTCTGGCAATATCTTGTAAAATACGTAAATATAAGAGTACATATTAAAAGTTTGAAATGGAAAAACCCAAAAATTCAAATTATTCTAAATCTAGTCATGACAAGTAATCTTAAATAATATTGAACTTTATATGCAAAATAATAAAAATATATAAGTACATACGAGTATGTAGTTCTAAAAAAAAAATAAAGCTTTACCGGCATGTTAGAAAAATAACAAGATTATTTTAATCTATTGAATTTCAATTGAATTCTGTACAAAATCAAATTTATTTTAAATTTAGCTATATTGTTCCTTAATGTGTCCCTGTTAGATAAATTAACATTTAAAAATATATGCAAAGTTTCAAGAATTTTACAGTAATAATAAACTGGAAACAGCTGTGTTAGATAAAATTATTAAAATAGTGCAACACATTTTATACATGTGCAATAACAATTAACACAAATTCATCATTATTATTAAAATTTCCAAGGTACAACAAAACAAGCTTTTAGTTTTGTAATGCTTAGAGACAATTTAAGAAACTGGCGAAATATCAGCCTTTGTCTGATATAAACGTTTTGTGAGTCATTAAAAGACTAAACCCGTGAGATGACAATATTTATGACTGTAAAAAATAAACAAATTTACAAAAATTTAAAATACAGATTTGCTTGTCGTAAGATTACATTAATATTGTGGCACAGTATTTAGGTTCTGCAGCTGAACCACAATATCCCAAGCGATCTTCAATTATGACGAGTTTACACAACATTTTAAAAATTGATGTTCCTTCTAAAGTATTTACGCTTTATATACATATAGGAAGGACATTAATTTGTTCCCAAAAATGTTATATGTATCACATTTTTAAAAAGAACATAATTGTTGTATTGTGCTTTGAGGGAATCCCCTGTATATGTGACACGTGACTAAACTTTGCTCTGTTGTTTCAAATACAGTTGCTGTTCATTGTTACATTCGTAATTAAAAGTTCACAGTAAATTAATATAAAATCTTATCTTTCAACTGCAATCTGCAAAATGTAGATAGTTTGCAATAGAAAAATTACTTACTTTTGAATTATTAATATAAGTAAATATTTATATAAAAGGGTGCTTCGCATATGATGTCGAATAATTTCAAGCTTTTTGAAGAAAAAAGGTACCATATAAATTAATAGCTGCGGAAACATGCGACATAAAGTAATCTCCACCAATACAATTTTTTGTTAGAAATTGACGAAAGAATCATCCCTGAAATTATTTGTAAATATGAACACCCTGTATATGTACATATATGCACATTTATTTGAATTTTCTTGTAAAATTTGAGAAAATACACTCATATTTACAAAAACAGAGCGCTAGCAAATAGTTTTTTCCAAAAATCAATTAATTAATAAATGACTACTGTGAATAATTGGTATGTACCTATGCAGACTCTTGTAAAGTAAGCCCAGAAGCAAGTGATGTCGGGGCTCAACTATTAAATAGATCGTCTTTTGAATTAAAAGAATCACTTAACTTGAAATCTAGAATTGCACAAATGAAGTAAACGCTCTTTATTCTCTACAATAAATAAAAAAATGTTTTAAGAAATCATTAATAATTTTAATTGCTGAGAAACTTATTAGTGAACTAGTTTTATGCAACTGGAAGAAAAAATTGTTACAGTTTTTTTGTAAATCAAAATAACATTTTCTATTGCCCTCAGTATTTCTAATATCTATATATATAGAACATGTTTTACATCAAAATATAAAAGTATTTTTTGAAAAATATTAGAAATTCTTTGAACAAATACACTTTTAAAACATTGGTCTGTTATGATATCTTGAACAACCAACTAATCCATTAGATGTTCTACAAATCCAACCGTTATCATTATAATATGCAACTGAAATATATCCTCTTGGCCAATTATTAATGCAACCACTAAGAGCAACAAATGAATTTAAACCACATAGAACACGTTTTCCGAATACCGTTTCAAATGCATACGGGCCACCAGAATCACCTTGACATATTCCTTGATATAAATCACCTGAACTACATAATTGTTTACCAGTTTCTAAGAAATCATAAACATCATGACATTGTTTATAACTAATCGGTTCTACTTGTAGATAATTTAATACATCTGGTATGGAATAATCTAAAAAAGGAGAAAAAAAATAAAATATTAGTCATTCCATACATATATATTCCATAAATATTACCTGAATCTCCCATTTTACCCCAACCTGAAACCCAAGCAATTCCAGTTTCACAATCAATCCAGTCATATGATGCTAATTCAATAATTCCAACAGTTGCAGCTGTAAAATAAAATTTAATATTAAAGACAGACTAAGCAATCTTATCAGTAAAATACTCAATGCTAGTCTACATTATACAGAGTTTAATACTCTGAAAATTCGAAAGTACGTATATAGAATTTGAACGCTTATGAAAAAATTTGAATGATTATTGTGAAGTAAGTGCAGTGATCGTGGACTATCTATTTTGTTTTTGCAGTTTTCTCCGTCATCTTAAATATTTTTAACCCGGACAAGAGCCAAAATCAAAAATTAATTTATTGCCAATTGAAATGCAAAATTCAACAATTTTGTTGCAAATTCATTTTGAGCCCAAAAAGTCTGATTTGCAATGTTTTGAAAATTGGTGGGAAATTTGGACCACATGTGAGGTAAATATACCAGGATAAAAAAAAAAACTACATAAAAAGAATTTAGAAAATAAAATTTATCAAAAACTAAATTTTATTAAACAAAACTAAAATGTATGTAAAAATGTGCGGCGAAATATTCGAGGCATAGTGTTCCACAATACACGGAATTTCTACCTTTGAAAATATTATAAATTTTATAATTAAGATAAATGCTTACATTAAATTGTTCTCAACAGAATTTTTGTATGGAAGAAAACACATCTCCTGCAGAAACCGATTTTATAGTAACGGTACACAAAACTGCAAAACACACAAAATTGATTATTTTTTTCTTAATAATAATTATAATTCTGCATTTTTCGACATGCATAGATAAGGCATTACATGTATAGTTTCTCAGATATCATGGTGGTTCACATTAACCGACTGGACCACAATCACCGCACTTATACTCTAAATGAAAAACCTGTTATAAGCGTAATTTTTTTCTAATAAAATTTTCATCACCCTGTATAATTTTACCAGGTTAAGACTGTTGTTACGCGATTGGTAGAACCGGAATCATAATGATCACCACACTTATATAAGCAAAATTCATTTGTTTGTGATGGAATTTTTTTAAAAATGAACTAGATAAAATTATTTGCACTTCTATTCTTAAAATTTCTCTCGAATACTTCAAATACCAATAAATAAAGAGCAAACAGGAAAATTTCAGCCTTTCTACCTCAATTTTCAAATTCGAAACAACATTAAAGCAAACCTAGCTCTATATTCGATAAATTTTAAGTTATCTTAAATAATTTCAATAAATCTTCTTAAATACTTACACAATTCAACTGGACTTGGTAAACGTATTAATGCGATGTCGTCACCCAAAGTGTAATCATTATAATCTTCATGAATAGTAATATTTTCTGCACCAACAATAATATTATTTGGATCATATTCTGAATACGGTTTTATACGTGTTCCCATAAATATTGAAACCTGGGTAGCTCTAAAAAAAAAAATAATTCAAAAATCATCATCTAATATTTTTTTCTCATACTTAAAGCTTTTTAAACGCATACATACTTATAAACACAATGACCAGCAGTTAAAATTATTAATGGATGAACTAGAGCACCACCACAAATTGATACACTTCGATCAGATTTTTTAATATACATTCCAATTTGATAATTAAATGTTCGGAAATCATTATCTGATATTTCAAAACCGCCAGCAATACGACTTTGTGCCCCATATACTTGTGATGATGCATGATTAAAAGCAAATTTAAATGGAACAAATTTATCCCCTTGTTGAAGAGATTCAACATTTACGGGAATAAAAAATAATCCAATAATTGTTATTAATATAAAAATTATCATTTTTTCTATTTCAATTTGATCCTATGGGATCGATGGATTTTAAATAACTGTTGTAGTTTAAATGGAACTTAAATAGAGTATTAAAACTTAACTCCGAATTTATTTACTTTTCTTAAAATAGTTTTAAAATTTTACTTATTTGAAAATAAGGCTTTCAAAATTGAAAAAAATTCGACTGTCTGTTGAAATTTATGTTTTCTACCATTCATTTTGCATAATATCGTACTGTCCATTATAATTCGGCATTTATTATATGGTTGGCTTTGTGGACAATTGCAATTACATATTAGATTCTTAAATATTTAATTATGAACTTAATTTTAAAAGTTCATATTAAATTTATTGAACATCCATAACTGTAACCAAATATTGCTCAATTTGGTTACAGTTATGGATAGACTCGAGTTAAAAGGTAAAGGTCTGTGAAAACACAAAAATATTTAAAAAAAAACTCTTTACAATCACTGAACTTACTCAAATCCGATTGAATTTCAGCAAGTATAAATTCATTCACTCACAAAGTTGATTCAAATCGGTATTAGTGGAGTAATTTTCCTTGACAACTTCCACTACAATTTTATAAACAATTATTGTAAAAATTTCCCATGAATATTTTTACTGTCCGAATATTTGTATGTTCCACAGTAGAGCTAAAACTCTGAAAATTTGTAAACCCAATTAGAATAAACCAATCCTGGAAGCTATCAACACTAATATTTTGTTGCCCCTTATTATTAAAGTGTGACGTCTAACTATATAAAATGAAATACTGTTATTGCTAAAGCGGTAGAGATTTTTATTATTTGTTCTTTAGTTCAAAATTTGTAAAACCGATTTAGCTAAAAATTTATTTGATTAGGAGAAAATTATTTTCAGAAAATCTGTTTAAATATTTGACTTATTTTAAATGTGATTAATTTTATTAATACTGAAATATATTAATTTGTACGTGTATAAACATTGTTAGATTAAAGCTTTGACTGTTTACCCTACTTTTGGCTACTTTTGTGTTAGTTTATTTCTTAATTTTTTTTTTTTTGGGAAATTTGAGATTATTCAAACAATTTTAAAAGATGACAAACAATTTAAACAAAATTAGAAAAATTGGGATTTTCCTGCTTCGCAAAACATGTCAAACATTAGTGGTTTCATGTGGTAAACATTTTATGCGGCAATATAATGGGTCCAGGCAATTTTATCCACATAAATGGAAAATGAAATTTTGAAATTAAAAAAATACTTAACTATAGCAGAAACACCATTAAATAAATCGTTTTACCGTTAAATAAATCGTTTTAAAACAATTTGAAACCTTTCTGGCAAAAGAAAGCGTCTGCAAAGAAAAATTTTATTTTTTCAATTTCTAATAGAAATATCGTATAATGGAGCTGCCCTACCGGACAAAAGTGAAACCAGATTTTCAAAAGCATAAATTAAATTTTAAACTAAAAACAGCGACATCTTGTGTTTTCTTTTTAACAAAAATAATTTTAAACCAAAAAATTTAATTTTAGAATTTAGAACAGTGAAAACGAAAATTTTAAAGAAATATCGCTAAAAACCTTTAGAAAATTTTTGGAAATCAGTGTTTTAGTTATTTTATTGCATTAGTTATTTTATTTATTACCTCATTTTATTTGTTTTGCAAAATAATTTTAAATTTTCACTCGAATCGTTTGAATTCGCTCTGGAATTTTGTTAAACATAATTTACAACAGGTGTCGCTTAATTTGGACAAACTTTGAATAAAATAAATGTTGCTCAATAATGTTGGCAAATATTCATATGTCAAAATAATATAAGGCAATCATCAACGTCAAAATTGTTATAAATAATTGAAAAAAACTTTGAAGGCAATTGACAACAATTAATTGTAAAATCAAAATAAATAACTAATAAATAATTTAAAATCCCATAAAAAGAAAAATTGTAATGACTCGACACGCAAAGAATTGCACAGCTGGAGCAGTTTATACTTACCACGAAAAGAAAAGGGATGCTCAGGAATCTGGATATGGGACAAACAGGTAAGCATCAAAAAAATTTTTTTTTATAAATTTTAAAAAAATTTCGCGATTTTTCATTTAATTTTTATATATTAGTCGCCGAATTGGTAAAGATTCAATTAAAAGTTTTGATTGCTGCTCATTAACATTACAACCATGTAGAAATCCGGTTGTTACAAAAGATGGCTACTTATTTGATAAAGAAGCAATTCTTCAATATATTATTACTAAAAAAAATGAACACAGCCGTAAATTAAAAGAATATGAAAAGTTAAAGAAGCAAGAAGAAGCTGAAAATTTCCAGAAATCTGTTTTAGAAGAACAAAAACGATTAGAGAAATTCATAAATACTGAAAATAATATTACATCAAATGCATCAAAAATTGGACATAAAATTGGTAATTCAAGTAAATCAGATTCAATTTCAAATATGGATAATGGAAGAGATAAAGAATTACCAAGTTTTTGGATACCATCACAAACTCCAACTGCAAAAGCATCTAAAATTCAAAAACCTGATCCAACAATTTATTGTCCCGTATCACAGAAACCATTAAAAGCAAAAGATTTAATAGATATTAAATTTACTTTAGTTAAAGATGATTCAGATAAAAGATCTTTAATTGTAAAAGATAATAGATATATGTGTCCAATTACACATGATATTCTTAGTAATTCAGTACCATGCGCTGTATTGAGACCAACGTAAAGTTTTCTTCCCCTTTATTACATGCTTGAAAAGCATTGTTAATTTGTTTTTTTATTATTTTAATAGCGGTGATGTTGTTACAATGGAATGTGTTGAAAAAATCATTAAAAAAGATATGATGCATCCAATAACAGGACAAAAAATAACAGAAAAAGATATTATACCTCTTCAAAGAGTAATAGAATAAGAAATTTAACAATATTTTAAAGAGAATTAAATAATTTTATTGTAGGGTGGCACTGGATATGCAACTACTAATGATAACTTGGAAGGAAAAGATGAAAGACCAGCTTTACAAGCTTAAGAGCGTTTTACTTCTCTCAAAATTAATATTTTGTATGAAAAAGTTATCAAGACATTTTCAATTATTCAATAAAATTTCTAAATAGTTCAGTAATGCAAACTTTTCAATTTATATTATGCCTGCATAACTTATATAAATTTTTTCATATACTTTCTAACAACTACGAGTTGTTGAAATCAAGTCTGTTGATAAGTTGAAATCAAGTCTGAAAATTAAATTTGTCAATCTTTGTTACTAATTAAGATAAAATTAATTTAATTCGGCTAGCATTCTATTTTAAGAAACGAAAACATTAGTTCTTTTATTAAGTATCAGGGGCTTCTGTAATTAATGATGAATATTTCAGAAAATACAGTATGTTCTGTTCTCAATTTAATAATTGCATATTTTGAAATTCAGAAAAACGTAGCTAGTTATTTGAAATTAAAAGTTTTATATAATAGAACCAGAATATCATTAAAATAAATTATTTTGTTTAGTAACATTTCGTACAAACCAAATTAGTAATCACTAAAATTTTAATTTAAATAAACATATTAATCAATAAAGGGAATTTTTTAACTCATTCAAGAATCAAACAGTTGAAATCTGGAAATTTTTTTAAATCCTTTTCAATAATAAGGTAAAAGAAAGAAATGAATAATAATTAATTCTAGGTATACTCAAATTTCTAAAATAAAGTTAATGTTGCATAACAAAAATAACTATTCCAAGAATATTATGTCATTTGTGCACTTTAAAGGTTCAAACAACTTAAGTTTATTAAATTAAAAATTGTACTTTTTCAAATTGAATAATTCAAATAATTAATTTTTTTATTTGATTCACTTGCGAATGAGAATTTTTACTGTACAGGTATTTTATTATATTTTCATTAGAGTATTATGACCACATAAAAAATGTGGTCGATTGCAATATTTCAATTGACCTTGAAATGGGTAGATTTAATTGAACAATGTCTAAATAAGTAGGTGGTTGAAAAGGTATACCTATGTATATTATTCATCTTTGTAGCTTTTCTTTTCCTTATAACAATAATAGTGCGCCCATACATTTGTCTACGTCCATAAAATTTTAAATTGTGTTTTTGTATTAGAAATAACAATCAGAGAAAAGCTTTAGATTTCGTTTTTTATCTAATGTAAAATCGCACTACAATTTTTTTAATTTTTTTTTCATTCTATAAAAAACTTGTAAGCTGATAATATGCAATTTTCATTCTGTTCTGATTTTTATGTTTAACTTTTTTTTGTTTTTTGTAAAATTGCAACTTTTGACTTTAGTAAGAGTGTTAGTAATACGGGGTTTGTTTATATGGGTAATAATAAATTATACACATTCTTATATTAGTTGTGTCTGTTGTTCAATTTTTTATATTTATGTATAAAAAATTAAGGAAATTTATGCGTTCATTGCATTTTGTATTTTATTATTTGCTTTAGTAATTATTGGTGGTATAAAACTATTTTTATTTTTCGTTAATAACGCATAAATAATAAAGAATGGAAACAAATACGATGCTTTTATTAATAATTTTCTGAGAAAAAAATGTAAATTGTAGATTTCGGCATTTATAGAAATTTGGAATGGTTTGCAGTTTCGGAAATATAAAATTCAAGTTTTACAAATTTTAAAGGTGATAACTTTAGAAGTGGTAGAGGCGGAAAAAAAAAGAATGCAAGAAATTGATTTTTAAGAAATATTAAATATTCCTTGAGTACTCAAACCATAAACCAAGCATACTACCCATATTTATGGTACAATTTAGATTTTAGATTTTCAACAAATGGTACAAATTTATTTACCTTCAATATTATAAATATTATTAAAAATCATTTACAATGCGCGATTTGATGCCATTACATTAATAACTTCATTATTTTCTAATTTATTCACAACACTAAATAGTCAACTATTTTTTATAAGAATGCAACAAATCAAACAAAAATTAAAAAGGTTTTCATTTGAAAACTAATTATTTTCTTGCTCCTTAGACACAAGTATTGTATTTTTGCATTGTGTAGTACACTAGTATTTAATTTCTTTAATTAATAAATAATTTCATAATTAATTATATTTTATATTATAAATAAATCTTTAACCAATAACTTATTGTTAACTAGCATAAACATTGCAAAATTTTAAATTCTCATTTCTAAGAAATTCTAAATAGCAATTTAAAATAATTTTGTGACAAAAATAATTTATGAAAAATGAAATAATTATTATATTTTAACAGGTATCTATATATATATATATATATATATATATATATATATATTTATTCATTGTAACTATTATCTTAAATTGTGTACTCGCATGTATTAAATTTCAGTCTAGAATAATATGAGGTTAGTGTAATGCATGAAGGACATATTGTTATATTAGAGGAGCACGTTATTAGAAACTGGATACTTATTATGAAATATTAAGAAGTAATGCTGTCTGATAAAATTTCAAAACAAAATGAGATGAGAAGAAGAAGTTTTAAACAATTTAATTGTGTGTATGAAATTTAATGATTTGAAATAATAATATTTTCTAATTTTGGTTTGCAAGAGTTAAATAAGCCTTACAAAATTGTGAATGGAATAGAAATTTAATCTTATGCTTTAATTTTATAAAAGTTTTTATTTTAAACTTAAAATAACATTAAATAAGAAATTTAAATGGCTATTCTGGCAGTTGAATTAGAACAAATTTTAATTTGTTTTTACGTTTAGAATAGCTAAAGCGAAAGTAATTATAACATAATAGAAAATAAAATAATCCAATATAAAATTATTAACAATTTTATTTTGGAATGTATGTAAATATTAACAAATTTAAAATTTGGAATATGATTTTTCCAATAATTGAAAAATTCCCCTAGTTTTAAACATTAGTAAAAGAAGACTAGAAGATTTTTCAATATTTTCTTTAATACCTGCCCTTAAAAAATTAAAAAGCAATTATTTCCGAAAATTTAAATAAGATTATCAATTCCTAAATACCATATATAAAACACACCATATATAATTGTAATGTCGCTTAACTTAAATATATTAAATCTATAAAAAAACCTATTTCAGTTTTCATGAGTAAAACCAACTTTTATTTATTTATTTATTTCTCATATGCAAAAGTGCAATTGCACATATTAATTGAAAATTTTTCTTTATATTCTAGAAGTCGTGCAAGTTCAATATTATATATGTATATATAACAGGGGTGGTCAAGCTCCTTGATAATCATAGTCATTTTTTAAAATTTGAAATTTTTTGAGAGCCACAGTATAAAACTGTATTAAAAAGCTAATTAACTAACCCAAAATTCCAGGTTATACAAATTGCATATAGAGGAAGAATGGGAGTCATAGATTACGAACGATTACATTACTGTTTTTCTGCATTTGCATAGCTCTTCGATGAGTCGCATAATTCTTTACTTGGACAGAAATGAAATTTTATGTAACGTTGCACTTACACACTATTATATTTTTTTTCAGTAATTTAAAAAACATTTCGAAATACATACGAAACAATTATAACTTGCGGGTACATTATTTATTGAAAGCTAAAAACAAATTCTTTGTTAAAGGCTCCCGACCTTAAACTTTTAACCACCCCTGAAATATATTTACATTTCATGGAATCTTCTATATATTGAAAAAGCTTTGTTCTATATGTAAGTATTAGAATAAGAAATTGAATAAAATATTCTAAACATTAATAATTATTTAGAAACCGGGTTTGTTTTAAATAGATTCAAATCTTACTATTGCACAATATGAAAGCTTTTTTTTTTTTAGTTTTTTTTATTTTATTTACTTTAATTCTATGCAATTTTGCGCTTTTATTATAAAATATTAATAATAATAATATATAAATAATTATATATATATATGTATATATTAAAAATAACTTTACAAATATATTTTTTTTATTACTTAATTTACAATTGAATGATTTAGAATTGTAAGTTATAAATATTATCAACTTTTCAAAGTAAATAATAATTTTTTATTTTTTATATATTTTTGCATTGATATAATTATATAGGTATACCCGTATACATATGAATAAATATATTATTTTGTTATACATACATATATATATTGCCTATATTAATTTTAACTAATATTAATTTAATACGATAGAAAGTATATAACAGTATACATAAACAATGGACAATTATTGATATCGCTATATACAAAAATTTACCTTTGTATTTATATACACATATATATGCATATATGTTTTATCAATTATATATTGTATATTATTGCAATTGTATATAAAAATAGTGCATTGTTTTCAAATTTTTATACACACTTATTCTATAAGAATGTATATATACTTACAATATACGAGTATGTATGACAATTTTCGTATATGTATGTAAAAAGTTAACTCGTTTGTTTTTTTTTAAACTAAACTTTTATAATTTTTTAAAGTTCAAGTTTAGTGCGCAGGGCATCCCAATAAGAGGAGGAACAAATAACCATAAAAAGAAAAATAAAATAAAAGAGGAATAAAAAAAATTACTGTTAGTTTTCCGTTTTATTTCTTTTTTGATTTTTGTTTTATCTATTCTATATAGTTTTAAATTTTGCTATTTAATTTTCTGAACATTGCTGTATACCTAACCTATAAAGTGTAATACAGCAGTTTTACTATATTAAATTTTACCGGAAGAAAAGCTAAAAAAAAAATTTATATATAAAAAAAAAGTGGAAATTCTTTTAATTGTTCTTTTTATTAAATTACGGTAATATTAAAATTTTTCTGTGTTAAGTTATTTAAAAAAAATATATATATATATATAAAAATTATCGGGAAATTCGATTATTTTTAACCACAAAATTAATATTATATAAGATTAAATAATTGATTCTAATTAATTAAACATTAATATTCAAGTTAAAAATAAAATTTAAAAAAAAATTATTATTCAAAATAATTTAATAATTTATTTTTATACAATATTATATTATATATATTAAGAATATATGTACACGGATGTAAATTTAAAATTAATTACAAAATATTCGAAAGAAGAAATTGAAGTGAAATTGTTAAAGCAAGAATTTTATAATATTAAATAACAAAATAACAAATAATTATTTTATAAATGTATAAAAAATTAATTTTATTAAAAATTTGACCGCAACAAAAAGTGCAAATATATTAATTTAATAAAAAAAAAAAAACAAAATAAAATAAAAAATAATTAATTAATAAATAATTTTTTTTTCCTTTATTTAATTGCTAAGGTATTTTTTAATACATACATACATATATATCTATACATTTTAAATACATACATTGTATAAGAAAACAAAATGTATAATAATGTTGTAATAAGCATAATTTAATTAAAGAAATTATTTAATATTTGACAAAGTGAAACAAAAAAAAGAAAATGTGAAATTACATCATTTATAATATCGACGACAATATACATACATACATATATAGATAACTATTTTCATGTGTGAATATCTACAAATTTATATATAAATATAAATACTTATACATATAATAATTTAAAGTAACAAGTCATAAAATTGTTTATATATATATATATATATAATTTCTATAATATATGAATGTAAAATATCGTTTGTTATACATTATAGCTATTGTATATTAATATGAAAATGTTACAATAAATATCTGAAATTATTGAACAATATTATATTTTAATTATTTATCAATTATTGAATAAAAATTTTACTTAATTTGAAGAAATTTGTAATTTTTTGCAATATAATCGAACCGATACACAGCGACACAATGTGCGTTAACTAAAACATACATAAATCTATTTCAAAAAAACGTTCCTATACATTAATTAAATTAATATAAATTTTGCATAATAAAATTTATTAATTTTAAAGTAATTTTAATATAGTTTCCCACATTCTACGGTTTTGGCTAATAATTAAATATTTAATGCTTTTAATGGCATTTGAAACCTAAGAAATGGCATGCATTTTTTTGGTATGGGTATAGGTGGGAGCTATAAGCGGTTGATTTATTTAAGGCTTACAAATTTTGTTACTTTCTTTTGGTATTACAAAAATTATAAAAAGTGATAGTAAAAAAATTTAGAAAAAGGCCTTCCAACTTTTCTTAATAGATGCCATTATGCTTAATTTAATTCAAATAAAAATCGCTTAGTTTAGAAATTTCAGATCTTGATTGTAACACAATTGTATGTATAAACTATACAAAAAATAAATGTATAAATAATAAGAAAACAAAATATAGATAATAAAAATTCATAACCTAGTAGAAATTTTACATACATGGATACATGCTTACATAAAAAGCTTCTATAATAATTTAAACTCTTGTCTTGTTTTTTTTTCTTTTTAATATTTTGTTCCTTTTATTTATTTATTTATTTTTTTATATATATATTTTCGCAATATTTTATGCCGTTGTTTGATTAAAATTTATAATTATATATAATTTATATTGAACTTGTTTTCTATATTATATAATCATATAGTATATAAAATTGAATATTAAGATTATTTTTACACTGTATATAGTGATTATAAACGAAGTGCAAGATAGAAACTTGTGATAAAATAAAAGTAATTACAAAAATCAAGGTTTAAAACTACTAGATTTTTAAAAATTGTTGAGAAATTTTGTTAATAAAATGCCAAAAATAAATACTTAATAGTATAATAAATATTTTTATGAATTTTTTCTAATAACATTTTAAAATTAATATTTTCTCTCTTTTGGAATTTACAATGGTAAGTTTATATTACTACAATATTTATTATTAAAATAATTTTAAAAAATTTTATCGAACTTTAATAACTATATTACTAACAATATGAGTTTCATTTCATATAGTAAGGAAAACAATTTAAATAAAAATAGTTTTACGTATATGCAAGCGAAGCAAATGACCCACCAAAGGTTATTAATAAATGCCAATAATGTGCTTGCATATAGGTTTAATAAATTTTCAATTTCGAGAAGATTGATGAGTTGTCATTTTTAATATTAATTGATCCAATGTTTACGAGTATTGTCACTAAAATTGTAAAATCGAACGTGGTATTGAAAAATTAGGAAATTTACTATCAACTATAAGAGCTTACATATGGTCAAAGGTTTAAATCAGAATATTATATGAATAATATTCGCGAAAGCTACTACCTATTAAGCTAGAAATTCAATGCTAATATAAAATAGAATTAGCGTCAGAGACGAATTAATAAACAGATAATACCTTAAGACTTTATAGGTTGGTGAGAAATATTTAACTTACATACTTTATTTCAATCACGTATAATGCTGATTAAATTATATTGTTGTGTATTGAATTTCGTACTTAAAACATCAAACGTTTTATCAACAAACTTGTATTTTCTCTATAATCACATTTTTCATATTTTGCTAGTAATTTTTGCTATACCAAATATACAGCTGTTTTCAAATGAAAATGCTAATGTCCTCATAATTAATTTATATTTAAAAAGTTGTAAATTTATTAATTACTCTCACATGATATTCTTGAACTTTAAGCAATTTTCATAGTCTATCATTAATTATTATTATTTATAGAGATAAAATTATTGAAATAATTACTTTTTATGTTAATATTTGACCCCACTAATTATTTGTCTAATTATTTGTTTTAATATTAAGCTTCTGGAAATTAAAAATCTTCTAATAAATTAATTCAAAAATTGCAGCGTCTGAAATAAAATTTTGAAAAAAGTGCCTTCAAAACAATTCGAAATTCTTTGAAGTTACAAATTTTAGCCATACTAGCTAGTATTATTTCAAATAAGATATACTTATAATTATATATTTAAATACGTATAATACAATTGCACTTAAACTTGTAAATAGAATTTTTCTTATTTAATCCAGTCCAGTATTTAATTTGAAATATAACATGACTCCCAAACAATATGATCAATCTTATACCTTCTCATAAAATAATTTTTCCCATGTACATTATTATGTAAATATGTATTATTCTACTGCCTGAAATTAGGCAATTTTTTGAAATTTTCACTTTGTTTTTTTTCTTTCATAAATTTTCAAAATTATTTCTTAAGACCATCCTTCAATTTTATAAATTTTTTATATTAATACCACTATCCTGTGAAGTAATCGCGTATATATTACAATATGTTCAGAGGCCTTACTATGTAATTCGATTTTTGTATTCGGAAAAATGGTAAGGTAGTACTAATCAATTTGCATAGTACTACCTTTGCATTTCTGCAAATATGAAAATCCAATTACATAGTAAGACACCAGTTCTTTAAGCATGCTAACTCAAGAAAAAAATAAATTTAAAAAAAATATTTACTTAAATAATTAAAAAATATATTTTTTTTTAATTGAAAAAATTTCGGCTTCATAAGTACATAAATGCAAAAATTTTGAAAATAAAGGAATTGCAAAAATATTTTTTGTTTTTTCAAAAAAACAACAGTTGTATAATATACAAACATAATATTGTTTACAGACAAAACATTTTAAGGTCATAAAAATTTATTGTATATGTGATCAAAATGTTGTTTTGTTATAATAAATTTACTCATATACTCCAAAAGGGTATGAAAATAATGGAAAGCAAAAGGGTATGAACACTATAATTTTTAACTCTCGCTCTGCCACAAGAATAAAATGTGAAATTAAATTCATGAAAATTTTTACATATTTATTAAGCTTAAAAAATATTGATATAGGCATTTAAATTGTATGGTTTTCAACTGCATAATTAAGTAAAATGAAGGAAAATTTGCATTTTATAATGAATTTACAGTGCCTGTTTCCTACTCTCTAATAACATTAATGATTAATATTGTGAATCATATGACATGAAAGTTTCATATTAATTTCAATGACCTTAAAGAATTTTCAATAAATCTTTCACTGTTCATTAACTTGAAATCATATTTTTTAATTGGCAAGTAGCTTTTTTATGAGTTCTTTAACTTTAATAGATTAAGTTCATTAAGAAATTTAAAGGTTTTCCTAGCTTGCCTGAAATATTTTTGCGCGTAAAATTTTTTAAATCTAATAATTTGCTAAAAAACAAACAACTCAGTAATTAGAATTAAAAAAATGCAGACTGACAAAGTGTACGCAAAAATTTTATAAGAAAAAAAACATCAAAACTAAAACTAAAAAAAAAACAAAAACTGTTTTTCATTTTTCAAAAACTCGTAATTGCAGTTTTGATTTTCACAATGTAAAAACACTCAAATTTAGAGAATAATCTAGAATAACACAAAGTATAAATTTAAATTTTTTCATATAAAAATCAAAAAAAAATTTCTACAACGCATTCCTACTTAAGTGATACTTTTGTGTTTTCATTATTTCCAAACCAACTTAATTATTTTATTGTCAAACTTAATTATTTTATTCTTTAAAACCAAATCCAAAATGGCAATGTGGAGAAGGAATTTAATAGCTTGAATTACTGCTACTGTCACCAGTTGGATAAGCATAAGTTGGATAATCATATGTTGGATAATCAGAAACGACTCCAGTTGGTGGTTCATGTGGTCGAGGAATAAAAGGTTTAATAAATTTACCAAAATTAAAACATGGTTTTCCAGCAATTGATCCTAAAATTACAAATATAGAAAAAAATTTTGTTTTAAAAATTAATCGTTATTTCTCAATTAGTCATTACTTACCAAAATACAATATTATGCAAAATAATGTAAAAAATTTCATATTGAATTTTAACAGAATTTCTTTTAACTCAGAAAATGTATACAATGTAACCTTTAAAGAGTTTCAAGACGAATGCAAATGAATTTTATAAAAATATTTTAAATAAAACTTTCATCCACATTACATACAGTTATTTTTAAATTTAACACTTGTCCGTAAATATTTGCTATAAAAAACATAAATTGGACGTAAGAATATGAAAATAATGTTAAGAATGAATTGAATGAAAACAAAATAAGCTTATGTTAATTTTATAAAAATTCTTAAAAACCAGAGTGTGTAGGTAACAAAATTTTTATTGAATCATATGCTAAAATAATTGCATTAATAATTCAAAAGTGCAATAATATGGCAATAATTTTTAGTTAAGCATAAGAGTTGAAGAATTTTAAAATATACTTAATACCGTCTTCTCTTTATTTTTAAGGATATTACCACCAAAATTAGAAATATAATGTGTTTATTTCTTTAATTCTACCGCGCTTGTCAGTTCATATCGAACTTTTATACCCCTTAAATTCTATTATTATGATGTGCTGCTATAAATTTTTTCTCCTTCTACGAGTATGAGAGAACACTAAATATTATGTTGTATGACATAATATGTCATACAATATGACATGTACAACATAATACAAGTATGAATTAATATATGTAATAGCCATGTAAATTAATTGATAATGTGATAAGAGAATTTGAAATTAAGCCAAACTATAAGCATATATGTATGTAGATATATACATAATACGAAGCGTATAATATTTGTACATACATGTAATAAACACTTATTTACAAATCAATTACGATATTCTAGATATCGTTTTTTTTTTGTTTTCCACTATTTAGATTTGTTTGAAGTTCATTAGACTGCAAAAGTCAATGTCAATATAGTTTTGCAAAAATTATTTCATCGTCTGATAATAATAATAAATATTAGCTAATTTTGTATAATGTTGTGAATACATAATGTATAAGTATGCATGGGTGTAAATATGTGATATATAAAACTGATATACTGTATATACTTATATAGAGTCTACATAATACAATTAAATATTAAATACAAGCTCAGATGTACGTTTTTGTAAAACATTTATATTATGTATATATATATAACATTATGTTTGAGGTATTTGACAATAATACAATAATAACAATGAAAACAATAATACAAAATAATAAAAAAGGAAAAGATATAAAATTGCGACGTAGAATAAATTTGAAATGAATAAATGCACTTTTTTCCCTTGTTGTTACCTTACCAAACATATATTCAACTCGTGTACACTAATACAATTACAATGAAAACAAAAAATTTAAATAAAAATCAGGCTGTTTGCAAAAAAAAAATTTTTTTTTTTATTTTTATATTTTTTAAAGCAAATTAACAAACGGCATTTTACTAACACCACTATAGCTATTAGACATATTAGACATACCAATATACAAAATTAGTTTAAAAAGTGCATTTGTGTACAATATGCAGTAAGTAGTCTTACATACATACATATATGTATGTGCATTATTAATATGTTTTTGTAAGTTTGGAAAGAATTTCTTTTTTGTATATAAATAAAACAAATACTAATGTATTGTAACGCCTTGTATACACAAAATTGTTATACATAAACAATATTTAGGAAAGCATATAATTAATATAGTATAGTTGTGTGGTAGTTTGTACATTATATACTTAGTAAGTATATAAATAAAGTTTATATTTTCTGCTATTAAATAACAAGTACTCGTATTAAAAATGTATCAAGAGTTCGGTATACTTGTAGGCAAAATTAACAAAAACAAAAAAAAATCAAACACAGTTACAAAAAGCAACAAAAATATAAAAAGCTTGATAATCTTACGTTTTTGAAGTACCTTTATATAGGCATTTTTTTTTTTGTGAATGTATATTTGAACTAACAACTATAGGATATTGAACTTCATATAGGTGCCCACTGAAATTCGATCAAGAATATAATATTAAATTTTTTACTAATGACCAATTCTAACTTTCATTTAGAAAATTTTATTATTAGCT